AGCTGTTTCATCCTAGTCTGAGAACCATCGGCAGTACGCACCCACCGAGTGGGGTTCGAACCCAAAACCTTCGAGTTACAAAGCAAGCTGGCTCGTATACCATTCAGCCGCTGAAACCCGATTCAGTAACCCATGAATTCAGATTAATTATCTATCGAGTGTTGATTTCCAGGGACTTGATTGGTTATAGGATTAATTACGAGCTGACATCAGCTAGAGAACCTTTAGAATTTCAGAGAGTACTAGCTGGCAGTTGCCCTATATGTATATGACTACTAATGAAGAGTCCTAAATGAGGACAAAACAGCTGTCCTGTACTCGCTAGTACCTCAGTGGTTCTTTAACTGATGTCAGCTTGTAGTCAATCGTATAACCAGTCAAATGCTTGCAAACCAACAACTGATAAGTATACACCCCTAGAACACTCAAGGCTCTGATTAGCTGAAATGGTATGTCTATCACACACTCCGTCAGATAGGAGAAAAGACGAACGCTATTGGTGAATAATGACTATAACATTTATATAGGTGAATATTTCAGTTTAGTACCTTACCAGTTGATTGATTAACTTTTGACTTAACTGAGTATCATTAATTTCAATATTGTAGTTGATATAATTGAATATGGTCATTAATTTAGTATCATAAATATTATTTGTCGTTTGGACCCCGGGTGGAATACACAACTTCAGTAGCTCCTCTGTATTTCACTGTATTCTCCGCTGTCCATTTTAGGTGGTTCCAAGATGGCCCATAAGCTGTCTCCTAACTTGTCGTTTCACATTTGGATTTCACTCGAGAGTCTGGCACGCTATGTTACTCAACAGTCTTCTCAGAGTTGGTCCAATCAGTAGCCGTTTATTTATACATATCATTGGACACTAGTCAGTAACTAGTGTAATGTGTCTAGTCCTTGGTGTTCGGTGCAGACGGAATTCTATCAGTCAGTCAGGTTTGCAATGTGGCCACTATGCTGGGTAGCTCGCCATCACGGTGCACATTGAGTTGTTGTTGTTAGTTAATTAGTTACTAGTGTCCAATCGAAGTATCCAATACAGTCCTACAGGAGGTCAACTGCCAGCTCAAATAGCTTAGTTGTGGTCACGTCTCTGACTGGATGATGCGGGTTTGAATCTCAGAAGGGACAGAATTTCCTTCAAGGTAGTTGCAGATACGCCTTTCTGCCTGATGAGTGCCAACAACAAGCACGAAACCTAGGTCAGGCAAGGCTTCCTGCGACCGATTACCTCCAAACATCTAATATCATCTTAGCTAGTTCACCGAAATATCAGATTTCCTTGTTAATTACTCGTCCTTTCCAGCTAGTTGACATTCCTGTCCTCAGTGTCGAGTGAGTAGGGCAGTTGCAGGTGAAGGCCTCCACGAGGCTGATGGAAATACTTTGGCTGATGAGAGCGTAAACTCTGTGAACTATATAGAAGCACTGACTTAAACATTAGCGTTCAGAATTCAGATCTTGTTCCTTGTGGTAACTGGTTGGTGTTTGATGTATTTGTTGGTTTTGTGTCTTTGTCAACTCTGTTTATTCTACGTTCACTTGAGGTTCTGTCTTTGCTAGCTTTTCTTTTAAGTTATTTGTTTTTTTGGCTATTTAATGTTTACGTTTATCCCATGTGTGGCTTAAGTTATCCATAAAACCGAGATCTTCTAATTCTTTTCTGTGGATCCATCATATGCCAGCCTTCATAATCTCCACAGACTATCGTATCATCCAGTTTACCAGAACCAGGAAGATCATTGGCGACAGTTAGGCGGCAGTCTTGTTCTACTGACGCCTTCAATTTAAAGCTTTTGGTAGGAATATGAAGAGATAATAATCGCCAATGTACACTGCGACGCGTACTCATAATTACATATAACAACAGTTGAATGACCTTCAGTTTATATTAATCCCCCTAGATAACGTCTCTTTATTAGTGATTAGGTCTACAGTATATAAAGTTACACAATTCTGTCAGATTTCTTCAAGAAAGTGAAATTAATGAGGACAAAACAAGTAGCTCAGTGAATACTCTCTTTCCGACGAATATATTCACTTTACTGTACAGCCATAATTATACATAATTATTTTTGGATGTGAGTGTACATTATGTCAGTCCAATAAGAACAAAAATTAGTTAGGGATATTGGTTACAAGATTTCGTCATAAGATGACATCGGTTCGAGAACCATTGGAAAACCAGCTGGGAGGGAGTAGTCAAAAGCTGTTCATATAGCCCGTCTAGTTTGGGACTCTTCATCAGTACGCATCAACCCCCAGAGTTCGAATCCGGGACCTTCTGGTTTCAAGGAGAGCTAGCTCGTAGACTGCCAAGCCACTGAAATACGATCCAGTACCCAGCCAGTCCGCGAATTCCAACTTCTGAGTACTGTTGACCTCCACACAGACTTGAGAGAAATGAAAGCTTGCCTTGCTTTCCCGATCGTCGCTTTGATATCCTCGTCCCTTCTGCCTATAGTTGAAATGATACTTCCCAGGTAGGTAAAGGAGGTTTCTTCTTTCAGATTTCTCCCATTTATGCTGGCTGGTTGTTGTCTATTGTTGCTGCCGTTGCTGTTGACCAAGAATCTTCACCACCTCTGTTTGCTGTGAGCTCACCTGAGGTCCTATCTTTGACGCTTCCTCTATCGCCAACTTGTTGCTTTTCACCTGTTTATCTTCCACTTTGTGGGAAATCAGACATATATCATCGGCGAAGTTCAGATTCTCCAAGTTCTTTTGCGTTGGTCCATTTTATGCCTGTTTCCTCGGTGTCTGTCTGTTGTATTATCCAGTCTACCGCAATCAGGAAAATCATTGGAGATAGTAGGCAGCCAGCTTCTTCTACTGCTGTCTTCACTTCGAAAGATTGTGTGAGTTTCCCATAGTGGATTACTTGGCATACAGCATTGCCGTACAATTGTTGGCGGCACCCCTTGGTAGTAGCGAAGTCGCTGCCAAACCACCTCTAGATCGACGCTGCGCTATCGAAGTCCTTTTCAAAGTCAATAAAGTTGAGATAGACAGCTAACTACCATTCCATTTATAGTATCAAGTAGATCTAAAAGAAACCGTGATGAATTTCCGCCTTTTCAAAATCTGTTAATTATAAATTACTAATTTTCGAATTACAAATCTTGAATTTGATTTAAGCATGCCGAAGGCTTTCATCAGGCGGGCCATACTTTCGCTGATCCTATAAAGATGAGATGACCTGCTTTCCAGAGAGAATGAATGAATAGTAAAGAAGTTTGGCAATGCAGAGAGTCAGCCAACAAACAACCGATTGTCCAACAGACATGCAGACGTATTTGTAAGTGGATTGGATGTCTTCTAAGGAGATTGTAGAATGAAATTACACGCCACAATGTCGAGTGAAGCAAGAATTGGAAGTGATGCGTTTGGCATGAGTCCCAGTCTGAGTCTCGCACTTGTGGAGTCAGTTGAAAGAGATTACAGAGAATCTAAAGCAGTGGAGATTAACCCCCTGAGGTCTTATATTGCTTTACTCTGAAAGCACAAGTGAATAATATTTTTTATTCCTTCACTTTCCCAGTGGAACATAGGGGGCTTATAGCTAGAGGCTTGAAGTTTCAGTAGCAGTGGTGTTTATTTTTACAGCATGGGGTAGCTAGCCGCCTCATGCCTAGCCAACTTTCCCCCTTTATCAGTCTTATCACAGGCTTGGGGAGGTGAAGGAGTGCGTCTGTTGACCGGGTATCGAATTCTGGACCACATTCGTGATTGGCTAGCATTATACCGCTGTGCCACCGACACACAAGTGAATAGTAAAATAATAATAACAAAGTTTCAATAAAGCCTAAGAAGGATCTATTTGAAAACAGTATTCTAGACCTATCCACCTTGTAAATGAAAGTGTTTATTTCTAAAATGCGAAGTAATTCACAACGGGAAACTCACGGACCTCTTCGAAGTGAGGACAGGAGTAAGACAAGGCTGCCTACTATCGCCAGTGATTTTCCTGATTGCAGTAGATTGGATAATGCGACAGACAGCGGCAGGCAGCGAGAAAACAGGCATAAAATGGACCCACACAAAATATATGGAGGATCTGGACTTAGCCGATGATATATGTCTGATTTCCCACAAACTGGAAGATATACAGGTGAAAAGCAACAAGTTGGCGATAGAAGAAGCCTCAAAGACAGGACCTCAGGTGAGCATAGAGAAAACAGATGTGATGAAGATTCATGGCCAACAACAACAGCAGCAACAACAGACACGAATCAGTATAATTGGGAAAAATTTGAAAGAAGCAACCTCCTTAACCTACCTACCTACCTGGGAGGCATCGTTTCAATTACAGGCGGAACTGACGAGGATATCAAAGCAAGAATCGGAAAAGCAAGGTAAGCAAGCTTTCACTACTCTCAAGTCTGTGTGGAGGTCAACAACATTCAGCATCAAAAATAAGATCCGGATTTCCAACTCCAATGTGAAGTCAGTGCTACTATACGGATCAGAGACTTAGCCAGCTCATCATGAAGGGCGCTACAGACCTTCATTAACAGTTGTCTTCGCTCAATACCACTCAAGATCAGATGGCCAGAAAAGATCAGCAACAGGGATCTTTGGGGACGAACCAACCAGGAACCGATTGTGAAACAAATAGGCAGGAAGAAATGGAGATGGATTGGCTGGTCATACTCTGAGGAAACCATCAAGTGACAACACTAGACAAGCCATTGCTCAAGTGGAACCCGACTGAATTGGAAGCGGCGAGTTGGTAGTCAATGCAAGGGTGACTTGGAAGAGGTCATGTGAAGAGGAGATGAAAACGTGTGTGCAGACTTGGAGCCAGGTGAAGACTGTAGCAGAGAACCGAACGCAATGGAGACGCACGGCTGAAGCCCTATGTTCCCTTAGGAATTAAAGGAAACAATAATAATAATATAATAAAATGATGGTAACTAGAATATTTTATTTTTTCTTGTTTTTATCTGCATTTGTTTTCTTTTTTGCTTTTTTCTTATCCAAAGATTGAACTGGTATTATATAATATTTATACAAAAGTTAGTCAATATGAAAAGCAGTTGGAACCATTTTATGAGTTAGCGCGTCAACGGATAGAGTTGACGAATAATCGATTAAATGTCAGTGATCAGTTGATTGGTTATCGTAATAATTTGAATTGTATTAATCCAACAAAGTATACACAAGTAAATTTTATTGTATTTTATTGCTGTAATCTTCTTTTTTTTCTTTTAAACATTGGAGATAGATACACTTGTTTTTTTTGTCTACCTGTCATGTTCTCAGATTTATACTGATTGTTTTCTCCATAACTAATGTTCCGAGTAGAAGGTAGGGATTCAAGTTTCTAGGTTTTAGTAGTGGTAATTTTAGTTCTATAGGGTAGGGTTTAGTTCCATTATGGATAAGATTTTATGGGTTCGAATCCCGGTGAGTGCGTGCTGATGAAGAGTCCCAAACTAGGACGAAACAGCTGAATGTCCAGTACTCCCAGGTTTTCCAATGGTTCTCTAACTAATGTCAGCTTATGATTAAAATCCTGTAATCAATCAAATCCCTACAAACCAACACTTGAATATCAATGAGATGCTCACTAGCGACTTGCCCTATTCAGGTAGGTAGTTGCCTGGGGTTCTAGTGAGAAGTCGTGATCAGTAGGGTGCAGCAGGTCGGGTGTGAGGACAAATACTCGCTGAAGACATTGGCCAGGGGTTGCGCTATGTCGTGAATTGGCAGAAGTTGGAATTCATGGGCCATTGCATCGGGTCCCAGTGGCTTAATGGTATACGAGCTCGCCTTGTAGCCAGAAGGTCTCGGGTTCGAATCCCAGCGGATGCGTACTGATGAAGAGTACCAAACTAGGACGAAACAGTCGTCCACTACTCCTTGGTGGGTTTTCCAATGGTTCTCTAACTAATGTCAGCTCATGATGGAAATCCTGTAACCAATCAAATCCCTGCAGACCAACACTTGAAAATCACACAGTGTTGATGACCACGTTTCGAGCACAATTTATTACCGTTCATAATCATATCAAGTCACTCACACAACTTTTTTCTTCATTTATAAACATGTGTGGAATTGACTAGATATTTGAATAAAAATCAATATAGGATAATGTGCATTCAAGAATGATGATAATAGCTAAGGTAAGAATGATTAACTCCGAGAAGATAAGTAATTTAGAAGAAAGCCCAGAAATTGCACTGCTTGTATTAACACACAACCACACAATGGGGCGGATGAAAAAGGGTTACAATTTTAAGAAGTAATATAGGTAGGTGGAGAGTGAGAGAGGTTGATTACTGAATCCTGCCTGGTTCATCGAGTCTACACCCAACACAACACATGCGACAGAAGTGACTCAATGTAAATATCAGAAATATGGAAGATACTATTACCACCAGTCAGTCAAATCACAGGAGGATGATAAATAACCCCAAAATTCTATTTCAGTTCAAGCACATCACAACATTCTAACAAGTTACTTATTTTGACTGTAAAAACACTCGTCTTATTTCCCAGCTGATTGTATTTGGTGAATAACACTTATATTATTATTTCTGAATGTACATTATCCCATGTTGATTTTTATTGAAATATCTAATCATCAGTTTCACTCATGTATATAAATGAAGCAAGAAAGTTGTGAGAGTAGTAACTTGATATGATTATGAGCGGTAATAATTTGTGCTCGAAACGTGGTCATATCAGTTAATATTACTGTATAACAGTACACTGTGTGATTTATCAAAATAAAATCTTATCCATAAAAGAATTATTCTCTGCCACAGTGCCCAAAGGTAGGGTCTCCAGATTCACATCTAACCTTCTGACTTACTACTAGCTGGCTATTAAACTAAGAAAGGTCATGAAGTGTGTCAGCTGTGAGTCGGACACTGGCATCTTACTGTCGAACCACTGATAACGGGAAGAATAATGTAAGGGACAATGACTAATCTCAATTTTGATGATTTTACAAAATCTTATATTCAGAGAGAGAAATGAACGCTGTTCGATAGGCAATTGGTTGTCAGTGGTGTTACATCGCAAATTAACAGAATTTTTAAAAAATCACTGGTCACTGAGGTGCAAACCGGGAGCTTAATGATCAACTGGATGTCTTCGTAACCTGAATATCTTTGGTTAGACTCCTAAAGGAATCATTTTAAAGTTACAAAACCTAGGACCAAATAGCTGACCACCAACAGACCTTGGTTTTCTATGGATCTCTAACTGTTATACCTGTTCATGATGAAGTATACTTGGAAATTTCATATGTTAACTTAGTCTGGTTTTAGATGGTTGGAGGTAGTCGGCTACAGGAAGCCCTGCTTGACCTAGGTTTTTGGTGTTAGTTGGCGCTCACCAGACAGCAAGGTGTATCTGCAACCTTGAAGGAACTCGTATTCTAGCCTGACCAGTTCAAGAGTAACGTTTCTGACTACAGGCAGCAGTGGGTGACGCAGGTTCAAATCTCAGAAGGGACATGAGTTCCTTCAAGGTTGCAGATATTCGTTGCTGACTGGTGAGTGCCAACAAGCACGAAACCTAGATCAGACAAGGCTTCCTGCCGATTGCCTTCAGCCATCTAATGTCAACAATTCATAATGCACCATGGTGGCCGTATTGCAAACTTGACTGACTGATAGAATTCAGTCAACACCAAAGTCGGGACTAGACATACCACACTAGTTACTGACTAGTGTCCACTGAAAAATTACATTAGTCTGCTTGTCTGAAACTATAAGGAAGAGCTAGCCTAAGAAATGTCTCTCATACACACATACAGAGAAATGTTTCATTACCACATGAAGTCTCACCAGTACTAGTCAAGTACACTCGATGAGCAGCCAAGTCGAATTCCAATGTCCCTACAAAACAAATACTCGAAAATTAATCTGATGCTCACTAGCGACTGGCCCTATTCGGGAAGTTAACCGGGGGGGTTCTAGTGGGAAGCCGTGACCAGTAGGGTGCAGCAAGTTGAAGGTGAGGCAGTAACCCATCGAAGAAGACATTTTAAAGTGATTGCGCTATGTCGCAAATTGGCAGAAGTTAGAATTCATGGACTGCCTGGGCATTGGGTCAGGTTCCAGTGGCTGAATGGTCTACGAGCTAGCTCGCCTTGTAACCAGAAGGTCCTGGATTCTACTTCTGGTGGTGGGTGCGTACTGATGAACAGTTCCGAACTAGGAAGACGATATGAACAGCTGTTCAGTACTCCCTGAAGGTTTTCCAATGGCTTCCTAACCGGCGTCAGCTCATTATGAAATCCTGTAAGCAGTCAGTCAAATCCCTACAAAAACAATACTTGAAAATTTGAAGAAAGTCAGTGTACGATTAGTATCTCTGCTGGTGAGATACAGCGAATTTCACAAACGATTTATAGGCGAATACTCTGAAGGCATGTGACCTTCATTTACCACCTACAGTATCCAGGATGTTGTTTGAGTACCGGAAGAGATTTGCGTAAATTTTTTAAAGTTCTTTATTGCTCATTTTATTATTTATTTCGAATAAAACACAGAGTTTCAGTGGAAAATCTTCATTCCATTCAGTTTTCTGTTTTCACTCTAATGCCCTACAACCTTTTCTTTCCCCCTCCAGCTTTTCCTCCTCCTCACATGATCTCCTTCATGTCATTCTCGAACTCCCAGTGGCACTACCATGTCGAGTTACACTCTACGGCCTGAAGTGTGATGTCACTTAAATTTCTCCTCAGTGTATGCTCAGTTCATCTACATTTATATTCAAGTTTTGGCTTGTAGGGATTCGACTGATTGTTTACAGGTTGGCTAGAGAACCATTGCAAAACCAGCTGCGAGGGAGTACTGGACAGCTGTTCATATCGTACGCCTAATTTGAGACTCTTCAGCAGTACACACTTACCCACACTAAGATCATTAAGCCACTGGGACCCTATCCAATGGCCAGTCAGCCTACGGATTCCAACTTCTCCCAATTCATAACCTGGCGTAGCCACTAACCAGTGTCATCGCTGCAGAGTATTTGTCCTCACACTCTATCTGCTCTACTCTACTAGTCAAATCCCTAAAAATCAGTACTTAAATGTCATTGAGATGTTCTGTCTGTCTATCTGTTTTCGACATAGAACTTTGCACATATGTGCGGCAGTTCAAGTCGCCACACTCCATGTAGCACACAAAGGAAGGGAAGAAAGTAGGAGAAATGCATATTAGAGAACAGTAAACAGAGGTGTGAGACAAAGGAATAGTAATAACGAAGAACAAAACAGTTTCATTGGAAACCATAAGTCACAAGGAGTGGATGCATCTCCACCAGCCATTGAGAACGATTTTGAGCCATGTCACCAATTGTTTCCAACCATTGGTTTTTACCGTCCCAAGGACCCTAACCAGACAGGAAGTCTACACCTTCCTACGTGGCTTAGACTAACTGTTGAAGATTTCATTGACTGATGAAGTCATGTTTTGGTTTGACCGCCGTTAGCTCTTTTCCAGCCTGACCCTGTGTCAGCTAACATTCCCCATTGTCGAGGAAGGCGATGACTAGGCATACGTAACATATTTCCTAACCATCCCAGCTTCACAGCCTCGTCGATTGATTTCCCCTCCTTACCTAGCAGTCGACGCCTAACCTCAATATTGCTCACCTTACTATACCACTTCACACGGGAGATAGAACTCAGACAACTATGATCAAAGACAGGTAGATATCCTTTTCATGTCTTCCACTCTCAATGGCCAGGTCTCACAGCCATAAAGAAGGACGGAGCGGACTGTTGAGCAGTACACACGCCCTTTGGTCGATAGTCGGATATCACGTCTACGCTAGAGACGGCGTAAACTGACATATGCGAAACCAGCCCTCTGTATCCATGCTGAGATTTCGTCTAGGAGTCGGTGTTCACTAACGACTGATCCCATTCAAGCAGGTAGTTGCCTTGGGTTCTGGTGGGAAGTCGTCACCAGTAGGGTGCAGCAGGTCGGGTGTGAGGACACATACTCGCCAGTGATGACATTCTCTAGTGGTCACCCTATGTCTTGAATTGGCAGAAGTTGGAATTCATAGAATGGCTGGGCATTGGATCAGGTCCCAATGGCTTAATGGTCAACGAGCTAGCTCGCGTTGTAACCAGAAGGTCCTGGATTCTACTTCTGGTGGTGGGTGCGTCATGCTGAACAGTTCCAAACTAGTCGGACGATATGAACAGCTGTCCAATACTCCCTCCCAGCTAGTTTTCCAATGGTTCCCTAACCGATGTCAGCTCATCTACATTTACTTTCATCTATTTGTTGGACTGCTGGTTCGTCGAACTGCCGCACATCTTTATCGCTTATCTTTTCTAGCCCGTCAGTCATCTGATCTTCTATTTCGAATGAAGGATGCAGCTATTGATCTAAATCTTCAACAAGCTGTCGGAAATCCATCCTTGTTTTAAGTAGGCCAAAGTGAACTGAATATTGAATGTTATTTTTTTCTTTTAAATAAGATACACAAATTTAAAAAGTATCACGGATACATTATTCTTTTCTTTTTTCCTGCTTCCATTTTTTACAGGTATATCAGCCAAAAAGTTTTAGTCAAGAGAAACGACCTCAAATGCCTAGTCGATTTAATATAGTTAATTATAATGAGATAAAGTGTAATTCTGTTAATCAATCAAATGTTGAACAGAAATGTGATTATGTTCAATGGCCTTCAACAATTCAGGTAATGAATGATCAATGATTCCATACCTGGATTAACATGCTCTATTATTATTCGCTAGTGTTATTCTCTGTATGTACACAATAATTTATAGGATACCTGAAATGGTAAAATAATGCGAATAAGTAGGGGACTTAATAACCTTCCTCTTTTGAATTATCAAAACACTTAGCCCTAATACTATATCCCATTAGAAATCATTCAGACTCTAGGCTGGCTACCTAATTCATATGAAATGAAAAAGAAACTAAATAACATTTAGTTAGAGAATAATGAAAAAAAATGATCAGTTTTGATATAACTAGTCTGTACACTAATATACCAATCATTATGGCCTTAAAAGCAGTTAAAAGGGAACTAACTGCAGATCCTGAACTCATTCATAGGACGAAGCTGCCCAATGAGAAAATTACTCTAGGAATTCAGGTCAAAATATATAAAAAACAGATGGTGTAGCGATGGGGTGGATCACCAATATCCCCAATCGTAGTAGATATCTTTATGGACAGCTCGGAAAATATTGCTCTAAATACATTTAATCCCACTGCAAAAATGTTGTGGGGACATGTGGATAACTGATACTTTCACTCACAGTGTTAGAAACAGAACATATCTCTCTCTAGCTTCTTGACAAATATAATCTCACTAGTAGAGGGAATAAAATTCACATTTGAATCGGAAAATGAACAAGGAGAATGAGCTACGCTGTTTGATTGTAGAATAAAACGAATGGAAGAGGGCAGACTACACACTCGCGTTTGTAAAAAGCCAACGCATTCTGCTAATACATATTTAGACTTTAATTCATCTCATTCGTTATCTATCTGTGAAGGCAGGCCTACTTAAGTGTCTAACAAATCGAGCAATAACTCCACTAAGCACTACAAAATAAGACCTAAGTGATGAAATGAAACAGATAGAAGAATAGCTGGTTGGTGTTAAATAACTATCCTATCATTAGGAAGATCAGAAAAGGTCAAAAGCAAAATAAAAATGGTGAAACTAATAATGTTAAAATAAATAAGAGAGAACGTAAGCCGTCTACAATTTTACCATATAAGGAGGGGACATCTGAAACTCTCCCTACGTAGGATTCTTAATAAAGCAGGAATTAGGGTGGCATTCAAACCCACAAACTTATTCAGGTATGAAAAACTCTGTAGGTTAATGGACCCTGTAAGTTGACCCAATTAGACAAAATAATATAATTTACAAAATACCTTGCAATGACTGTGAGTTAAGTCAACCACACAGGTCAAACTAGTAGATTGAGAGTAGTGACATTGTCGGAACATAAGAATTTAGATAAGGTAAGAGTGGTTGACCCCACGAAGATAAGTAATGCTTCGTCTTCAACCTGTTTCATTTCATCGTTTAGGTCTTTTCTTGTGCTACTCAGAAGAGTTCTTGCTCGGTTTGTTAGACACTTAACTAAGCCTGCCTTCACAGATAGATAACGGATGAGATGAATAAAAAGTCTAAATATCCATAACACTGTGAGACTTTATCAAAATAAATTTCATCCACTATGGAATTATACTCTAACACAGTGCAGAAGTTCATTTCGTATATTAACTGACTACTTTTGCTATTTAAGTAGTACAACATAGAATTTTTTAATTCATCAGAAATTCCTATTCGGACAAAACAAATGATTCAACGGAGAGATTCTTTTCAACGAATTCATTATCACGCTGCACAATCGTATATATATATTTCTTTACGTACCCAGTGGAAAATAAGGCTTCAAGCTGGAGGCTTACAGTTTCTGTAGCAGTGGGTATAATTTTTACAGGATGGGGTTGCTAGCCTCACGCCCAGCCTTCCCTCTTTATCAGTCTTACTACTGGCCTGGGCGGGTAAAGAAGTGCGTCGGTCGGTGATCGAACCTCGGAGCACCTGCGTGGTCGGCGAGCACTATACCGTTGTACCACCAAAGCACTGTACATATATATAGTCTTTAAGAAATTATTTCCGATGAGGGAATTGAATCATAGATGTGCGTACATTAAAAAATAATAGTAGTATGAAATGAAATTAAAATATTTGTGATTATAATGGTAGTTAAATGTCAAGTGGCAAAGCAAATTAATGTCATATATAGAATAATTCATAGGATGGATAGAACTTGAAATAGGGTGTGCAATTATAGGATTAGTAGACAAATCGAATGAAATAAAAACGTTACATAACAAACGTTGTGTGAAATTTAATAGCATAGAATTTAACGTTGTAAAAAAGAATTGATTTAGAATGACAAGTGGAACAAGTGAAATAATACCGGGGACAGTTCAAAGTGAGAGTAGTAATAGTAACAATTGACCTAATAAAGGAAGAATATACAAATTGAATAAACAAAACGAAAAAAACATTGGAAAAGCCAAAATATGATTGGGGATTGCCATACTTTAGCATAGTAGAGGGATTCAGATCATGAAAGTTGGAGGGGTTGAGCGAACTTTCTCTGTGCACAGAGATCTGGCTTTTCTGTTTCGATAGCCAAAGCTTCAGCAATACAGATGAGTCGGGTACGTAGGGATTTGGGTAAATTACTCTTTGCCATGTAGATGACTTTAAAGGCCGAGGCTGTAGAAATAGGATGGTGACCAGTGTCGATCAGATGTTCAATGATCGTGCTTCTTATTGCACCACCACTTCTAAAAGAACCATATATATACGATTGTACAGCTTGACAATAAATTCGTTGTTGAAAAGAGTCTCCTCGATGAATCACTTATTTTCATACATATATATATTTAACTTCTACTTATACATATATCTGTTATAACCTTTTTACTAAGGAACAAGTTGGAATATGGCCGTATTATCCTGGTAAATCAGAAACGCATACAGCTTTTACAAAACCACAGCATAGTGTATCAGAAGTTCTTACAAATCATGGTCAACTGCGTTCATGTACACCAGGTTATCGAATAAATCCCCACTCAGAAATTAAACTACACGGATTTGTTAACACAATGAATAAAGAGAATCAATCAGTGGGGACAATTGACCAATCAGAATATAGACAAGCGTACAACTTGCCAGATGGTAAAAAGATACATACAAGTCCATGGAATCGATCAAGAGAATTCAATCCAATGTAATATATACACATATATATTGTTGTGATTGTTATTATTATGCTTAAATTACTACTAAGAACTTTGTTAACATAAGACTAGTCTGTTAGTTAACTAATCAATAAAACTTATAAATACTAATTAATGTATGACTGTTGGTCTTCGTTTGTTTGAGTACCGATTGAAAAATATGGGTATCCGTAGAACATCTCCGTCTTACACACAGTTTTCTGAGGACTTTTCTCCAGCTGCTTAGAAGATTACAAGGAAGCTTTCATTCTCTCCTCCCCCTCCTTCTTCTCCTCACAGGATCTCCTTCATGTTACTCCCAGACCTATGCCCAAATCGTCTCTCCCCATCTGTGTGTCAATAGATGGTCTACCTGATGGGCGATGTCACTCAGCGTATGCCCGATCCATTCCCATTTCATTCTACCAATCACCATCAACGGGAGGGATTTGAAAGAGGTTACTTCATTCACTTATCTAGGGAGCATTCATTGTCTCAACTACAGGAGGAACGGACGACGATGTCAAATCGAGAATCGGGAAGGTAAGAAGCACATTCACCAGCCTGAAAACAATCTGGAAATCTTCGTCACTCAGCCAGCATCAACAACGAAATTCGGATTTTCAATACAAACGTCAAGTCAGTCAGTTCTTCTATACGGATCAGAAACTTGGCGGCGGGTCACAAAGAATATTTCCAACAGCCTGTTGCAGACCTTTATCAACAACAGCTGTCTTCGTTTTATACCGAAGATCAGATGGCCGGAAAGAATCACCAACAAGAAGAAACTATGGGAACAAACAAAACAAGAACCAATCGCTCAACAAATATGCATGAGAAAGTGGAAATGGATTGGACACTCGCTGAGGAGGCCACTGGGTGACATCGCGCGTCAGGCCAATGCTCGAGTGGAACCCGAAAGTGAAGCGGCGAGTGGCACGTCCAAGGGTGACATGGAGGAGATCGTGTGAAGAGGAGTTGAAACAGTATGGATTAACATGGACGCAGGTGAAAAGTACAGCAGAAGACAGAAGCAAGTGGAGACGTGTACTTGAAGCCCTATGTTCCACTAGGAACCCAAGGGAACAATAATTATAATAATATTTGTTGGTTGGTTCATTGGAAATGTTCTTGTACAAAACAGGAAAGTCAAATCGTGTGGGGATCAAATAGGAACTCTATGCATCATCGTCATCGACCAGAGTATAGAATAACAGTCAAATCCCTGCCTCAATTTTATCGACATTGAGAAGGCTTTTGACAGACAGCGTTGACCGAGAAGTAATTTGGAAACTACTCCAACACTATGGAGTACAATGCCCCCAAATCTTTATCAATCTCATCCAAAAGCCATATGAAAGTGTCAGGTGATCCACAAGGGAAAACTCAAAGAAGCCTTTGAAGTGAATACAGGAGTAAGACAAGGTTGTCTAATGTCACAGATGATATAACTAATTGCGGTGGACTTAATTATACGGAAGACTGTGGGTAGAAAGAAGACAGGAATACGGTAGACCGGTAAGAGAACTCTGAAAGACCTGGATTTTGAGGATAATTTATGTTTCATGTCACACACACATACAAACTTAAAGACTTACATGCGAAAACCAACAAACTGACTAAAGAGGCTGGCAGCGAAGACAGACCTCCAGGTGAACATAAAGAAGACGGAGGTGATGAAGATACCCACCGACCAACAACAACAACAACCAGCACCAATCACCATCAACGGGAGAGATTTGAAAGAGATTACTTCCTTCCTTCACTTATCCGGCTAGGAAGCACGGTTTCAACTACAGGCAGTCGGAACGGATGAAAATGTCAAAGCCAGCCAGCCAGCCAGAATCAGAAAGGCAAGATACGCCTTCATCAACCTGAAGCCCGTTCGGAACTCTTCTGCATTCCACCTCAGCGTAATGAACAAGATTCGGATTTTCAACACAAATGAGAAGTTGGTCCTTCTAAACGGGTCAGAAACTTAGCCACAGTATCACGAAAAGGATTTCCAACAGGTTTCAGACTTTTATCAAGAGCTGCTACCTTCGCTGGCTCCATACTGAAAATCTAATGTTTGGTCGGAAAGAACTAACAACAAGAAACTCTGGCTGAGAACAAACCAACCAAGAGTCAATCGCTCAACTAATATGTAAGAGAAAGTGGAGATGGATCGGGCATATGTTGAGGAAACCATCGAATGACATCGCGCGCAATGCAGGCCATAGCTCGAGTGGAATCACAGTGGGAAGCGACGAGTGGGTCGCCAGTGCGAGAGTGACATGGAGGAGATAGTGTGGCAATCGTGGGCCCAGTTAAACAGGACGGCAGAAAATAGAACAAGTGGAGATGTGTTGTTGAAGCCCCATTTCTCACTCGGAACCCAAGGGAACAATAATAAAATGTAGTATTTCATCACAATAAAAAATTACTTATGGCCTCACTTCAATCGGTGTGGCAGTTGAAAGTGCTGTGACTGCAGGCCTTCGAAGTGGGAGACAAGAGGATGTTCCCAATGAACTCAAAAGCTGTAGTGCACCTAGTCGGCGTGCAGGAGTAGAAGGCGAAACTGGTCGTCTTGGAGACCCTGTTCAGAAGTTAGGCAAAATCTGACTTTAACAGGTCGCATGAGGTTAGTTTCGAAGTCCGACACGCCCTTAGACAGACAACAGCAGCCCAAGTGTTCGTGCAGATGAAGATCCACTTGGTTTTAGAAGTGGTAACACTGACAACTCTTCGGTTACGTGAGTTATAGACAGTGCATATGCTAGTTTTCCTCAGTTTATCGCATGCATCTCTAATGTTACTGTCCATCAGCTGAAGTTAGTGAATACAGCTCCACCAATGGATAAAAATGAACTGGTGTCACACACAAGACAGTAGATGAGTTCGACAGTCACACCTACACACACACACACACCAACGAATATCCAGTCAGTACGCCGACGCTGCTGCTGCTGCTGGATTCAACATAGAACTTGGCACTGAAGTGCAGCAGTTCGAGTTGCCACGTTCCAAATAGCACACAAAGGTAGACAGGAAAATGAGAGAAGAGAATCAATAGAGTTTTGACAGGTATAAGAGTGAAACAGAATGAGTAATGGTAGAAAGGAATATGAAAGATTACACAGACTGAATACATCTGCGTAAGCCATTGACAACGATTTTGAGCCATGTCACCACCTATTGTCTCCAGCCATTGATTCTTAGGGTCCCGAGGGTGGGCCCCAACCTGGAAGTCTGCATCTCCCTACCTGAGTCAGTTTAACTGTCAAGGATTTCATGGATTGATGAGGCCATGTTTTTGTTTGGCCACCACTTACTCTTTTCCAACCTGCACCTATATCAGCTAGTAATGCCCGTCGGGGGAGACGAAGGTTAGGCATGCGCAGCACGTCACCTAACCATCTCAATCTATGTAACTTCATAGCCTCTTCGATTGATTTTCCCTCTTTGCCCAACACTCTACGCCTAACCTCAACATTACTTACTTTATTATACCACCTAACGCGAGAAAGAGATCGTAAACATCTATGATCAAAACCAGACAATCTCTTCATGTCTTCCGCTCTCAATGGCCACGTCTCACCGCCATAGAGAAGGACGGAGCGAACTGCTGAGCAGTATACACGTCCCGACGACAAATCAAAGAACTGCAGAAGTAGATGTCAACAATTCGATCAAGAACAAAGCAAACTGACTAATGTTTCACTTGTGAAAGAACATGGAATTGGCAGATGCTGATGTTTTCTAAACAATTTAGTTAGCAAGTTGTAAGACTGTTAGAAAAAGGGAAAGAGCTAGTTTGTTTGACAGACACAAGGGTAGCCACTAGCCGTTAAACTGATAGATAAAGAGCAGTCTAAGGACACAAAGACCCATGCATGGACAGTTCATGTGTGTTAAACACACGAATGCCAAAATCACTTGATAAAACTTATACAAACTTTGAGAAGACAAGTAAAACACATGAGAAAAAATTTCCAAATAGAGAAAATTATTTGAAGTAAATTGGTTGGTTGGTGACTAGCAGTAGAATCCACCAAGATGCGCATTTCGTCCCATTTGAGACTCGTCATCTGGATCTGCCTGTTCCTCAGTGAGTGATGATGTTCCCACTGACGCTCAAAACCAGTGTGGTGAGGGCTGGCTGGTAGCCAAAAGTGGTAGACAGTAATTTACGTCAATGTTTACGTCCCCAATATTGGTCATGAGAAAAATAAGAACAAAGACTGCTGATTCAACAACCAATCACAGCAGACTTTGCGTAGGCGAACACAATTCGCAGATAGATAATCTGAACTTCAAGAAGCGGCTACAAAGAGATGAAGGATTAACGTTCAGCGAGAAACCACCAATCAGAAGACTGTTTTTGTTTGCTTACAATAATCTGTAATAATGTACATGAAAATTTATAAATATGTGCTGATTTCATTAATAAACAATCTGTTGCCCGGCCCTTGTCTTCTGTTGTTACACCAGTAGCCATAAGAGCCACCATAACGAAGAAATCCAAATTGAATTCAATAATTACTCATAACCGTTGCACAAGAAGTGTCTATTGTGGCCCAAGTGGTCTAGTGGATAACCCTTTAGTGTGTTTGAAACGATGGGTACTGGGTTCGAGCCCCAATGGGAACACCATCACTAACTCACTGGGTAGTGCAGGTACATCCAGTAGCTGACGAGTCCAAAATAGGACGAAATTCGCTTTATCCTAGATTCCACTGATAGTCACCAACTAACCAATTTACTTCAAATTAAATAATCACACATCGTTGAAGCATCTGTACAAGGAGCTGGACATGTCTACCAGAGGCCGAGCACTATAGTCCAATCAATCAACGGTAACGTTCAAAAATTGAATTAAAGAAATATTTATATATGTATTTATCAAATTTACATTTTGTACACAATATTCGCGGATAACGCGATAAAAGAAGAAAAAAGAAGGTGATGAAATAGCAGTAGTAGTAGTAGCTTCTCACATATCTTCCATTGCCCAACGCTGAGCTGCTTCTCGTTCCACACGACGTCTTGTTTGATCTTCAACTATTTTCTTTTCAAAACCATTACTACGATCTACACCATCCCACCGGTAACCTGGTTGAATACCATAACGATTTGGCGGTGGTTCAGGTCCTTGATAACGTGGTCGACTATCCTCTTCTTCATCATCATCATCATCACTATTCTCTGAACCCTCGGAATGAGATCCACCATCAGAACCTATGTAGGATCAAATAATCAAGAAATTGACAAATATATATTTATATTATAGGGTTTCGTGGGGATTCGGATTAATTTCAATTGTCAGATTGCGTCATGAACAGAACGCCAGCTGTTTCGCTCTGCTAGCTGGAGGTTCTTTACCAGTGCACACCCTCGGTCCCACTGTCAATGATTGAACCCGGGACTTTAAGGTCATAAGATCAAACTCTTTGACTATTGAGTCACTTCGGCAGGGGGTGGGGGTGGGGCACGGCTAGAATCCAATGTCCCGTGAAATCGAACTTCTCTTAACTCGTGAGACAACATTATTATAGTAAAAAAGAAAAAGTTCAGCAAAGACAACCATCTTTTCGGTGATTTCATTCTCAAAAGAAGCTGTACAATCACATTTATATATACATAAGTTTGCATAGATAAAATGATTACTTAATTCCACGTAGTGACGAAGATGGAGATTAAAGGTGATAATAATTTTCAAGTTAACTTGAAAGTTTGAAGGTGTGAATATAGATTACACGGCGCGTAGAAACAAAATTACACAGGATTAGAAAGTAGTTGCGTTATATCAGGTTAGACCACGGATTGATATTAGTCGGAGAAGCAATGAAAACCAGCACTGGGGTACTGGACAGTTAGCTGTTTTGTCCTAGTGTGGGACTCATCATTAGTACGCACCCTCCACATGGGTTCGAACCCGGGGCCTTCTGGTTACAAGGCAATCTCGCGGATTATTCAGTCACTGGGACCCGATTCGGGAACTCGTAGAAGTTAGAATTCATGGACTGGCCAATGAATCGGGTCCCAGTGGTATGGTGAGAGCTGTCTGCTAGCCCAAATTGGTAGACAGCAATTTACGTCAAATCTTGGTCATGAGCAAGAAAACAATAACAAAGACTAACTCAGTAGTCATTCACAGCAGACTTAGTGTGGGCGGATACGATTACCAGATATATCAACGGACTGCCTAAGGAACGGCAACAAAGAGATGATAGAATAACCTTTAGCAGGAAAACAACTAATCAGAAGACTTTACTTTGTTTACTTTGTAAATCACTCTGAATGATGGATAAGTCACTTGAGATGCTGTGGCAGGTGTGTTGGTGAAGGTGTCCATAATTATAGCGCTTCTGATTGAACCAGTGCCTCCCTCTTTGCAACCATGCTGGGTAATGTTCTCTAACACGCTTTGATAGGACTCACATCGAACAACCTACGTACCTAACTCCACACGAGCAGTTGAACTATAATATATGCACATTGAAATGGTCATATTATGTGAAAGTCTATCCTTCACATTGCTTAGAAGCAGTAGGCGGCTCCTTCGTTACTATGTGAAATTAAATAGCCATTGTATGTGTATAAACGCGATTGTACAGCTGCTTTATGAGAATGATATCACATAAAAGATATCTGTTTGTTGGGCCTCTTGTTCTTTTCGCTCTAATGTCCTAATGAGTACTTTTCATGATTTGAAAAAAAATACAGTGTTGCCTTCAACTAATGCATCTTAACGTGGTGCAGCACACTGATCGTAACTTCCTCTACTCTACAGCTTCAGGAAATCCAACCAGTAGCCATTAATGAATTGAAGATCGATTTCCATCACAAACCAACATCAAATAACACAATCATTGATAGACCGACAAACTCGATTCAACGTAGAACTCTACTTTGCACAGACGTGCACCAGTTCGAGTTGCCACACTCCCTCCATGTATCACACAAAGCGAGAGAAGAAAGTAAAGAGAGATACAAAAGATAGACAACAAACAGGAGTGTGAGTGAGGGAAAAAGAATAGTAATATGGAAGAACAATAGAGTTTCACTGGTTATGACAACAAATCAAAAAGAGTGAATATATCTACCTCCATTCATTGAGAATAATATTGGGCTACATCATTAACTGTCCTCAGCCTTTGGTTTTCACCATCCTGAGGACCCCAAGCAGGTAGGCAGATAGTTTACACCTCCCTACTTGGCTAGCTGGCTTTAACTGTTATGGATTTAACTGACCGATGAAGCCATGTTCTCGTCAGACCACCACGTGCTAGCTCTTCTCCGACCTCATCCATCCTATGTCAGTTAGCTAACATTGCCCGTCGAGGAGGGCGATGGCTAGGCTAGGCTAAGCATGCATAACACATGTCCTAACCATCTCAAAACGATGTAAGTTCACAACCTCGTCGCTGATTGATATCCTCATCCTTACCTACCACTCGATCGACGCCTAACCTCAATACTGCTCGCCTTATAATATCACGTAACACGGGATTTAGATAGAATGCAGACACTTATGATCAATGATAGCTAGCCCTTTTGTATCTTCTATTTTCAATGACCATGTCTCACAGCCAGCCGGATATTACATCTAGGCCAGAGATGGCGTATGCAGTACGAGCCTTCTATATCTAAGGTGTGAGATTTCATCGGCGATCAGCCCGCTGGCACTGGCTCATACAACTCCCCAAATAAGTGAAGTGGTCAACACACACTACCCTCCTATCTTTAAGCAGGGAGTGGGTCAATGTAGTCCAGTTCAGTCCACTAGGATCATCTTACATTTGACAAGGGGAGCGAATCTAATACCAAACATTTGAAGATTGTTGCTTCTCAAGGTGTTCACAAGACTCTGCATTCCGTATATTCCAAGTCAACGAGACTATAATTCCATGGTGGTAACAAGTCAATCCCTGAGTCACTGAAGTCAGTTAAGGTTAAGTCGATTACTGCGGTATCTATGATGAAACTAAAAAGAAATGGGGACAGTGAATACCCATGACGGATACCCACTTCTACAATTAAAAGCGTTCTCTGAGCTGGTTGGTTTAATCGCGAAGCTTTCGTCGTCCTTCCGGACAACTTCAGATGACAACTCTCCGTAGTCTCTTACCTAAATAGCTGCATGAGTTCGAGTAGAGTGAGTGACTTGATCAGTGACGTATTTTCTTAGCATTCCCTTTACAGCCAAGCATCACCATAGCACCTCTCGGTCGACGGAATCAAATGCGGCGTTCACATCAACTAATATCACGATTGTTGGACGCCAACAGTAAGTATGCCTATTTTTCAGAATCGGTGGGAAGGTGAAGATATAACCAATACAACCTATTTCTGGTCTAATGCCTCCCTCATTTTCTCGTGTTTGTTTCTCCCGAGCAACACACTTATTCTCCGCATGATTATTGAGACTAGAACCTTAGATACCTTATTAGTCATATATGTCCAAACCAAGTTCACTTTTAACAGTTTGAAAAAATTTGAGCATTGGTTATATGATATTCATTATAATATAGGCTTTTGTATGTCCCGATGAATGAAAAACAAAACGATATCGTGGTGTTTACTGACGTCTCGCTATTTGATGCTAGTAGCATCATCAAAGTATTATTAAACCGGAATTTACAAAATCCCAGCATATATATAACAAGGAGTTTGAAGGTGACATATTGAAAGTCAAAACAACAATATAATATCAGAAGCACATCATATCAAGTGGAATCCAAATTGCCTGAATAGGAATGATGGACTAAAACAGAATTTAACCTGGTTACAACACCTGCCTGCCTCCCCCATGAAGTGACAAAATCAACACGAATGTGATAAGCAGTTTCATTATGTAAACACACCTTGTTTTTATAATTTTACACATTTATCAAATCCAACAATCTACACTTGGTTTTGTTATCTTTACCAGTTGGCCAATTTGACAACGAAAAATGCCTCCAGACTGACGAACGATGATCAAGTTAGTAAACTTTATTTTGATATCATAACAGATGTACTATTACCTTTGTTATTTGGTTTAGTGATTGATCTTCATTGTTATTTTGACTTTCAATATGTCCCCTTTTTAACTTGACTTAAGTCTATTTTCTCACCTCTTAACTCTTTGTTATATATATATGCTGAAATTTTGTAAATTCCGGTTTAATAATGCTTTGATAAAGCTATTAGAATTAAATAGCGAAACGTCAGTAAACACCACAATATCATTTTGTTTTTCATTCATTGGGAAATACAAAAAACCTTTATTATCTTTCTTTTTATTTTTTTTTTATTTACAGCTTGATTCCACACCGTATTTTCAGTACAAGTGTGGAATTTTCAGCATGGATATCGGTAGCCCAAATTCAGGCCGACCATAGATATCGGGTGTGCGCCGGCAGGGGATCGAACCCCGGACCATGTGCATGGTCGGCGAGAGTCCTAACCACTGTGCTACCGACGCACATATTAGTCAAGCTAATCCCCCTCTAGTTACCACAGGAAGACTTGTCTCCCTCTTCCTGTTATACTGAGATAATCAATGACTTCCGCCAGCGTAACGGGTCTATCTCTCGTTCCCAGAGAGTAACTCAGACAGTAAATTGTCTCCACCGTCCTTAAACACCCCTCCACTACAATGTATATATTTAGAGAGAGAGCAGAGGAGAGAAAGCATACTGTCTCCACTTTACATACCTTTATGCTTTTTCTTGCCATGTTTCTTCTTTTTCTTTTTCTTCGCAAAATACTGAGCCATAGGATCCTCGGCGTGTATTTGCGACTTCAAGTGTTCTGTAAGATCTTTATCATCAGCATATCTTGCCAGGGGTTTTGAACTTTCATATTCTTGTTCTTTTAATTTGTTGTATGTTTCTTCTAATGTCTTAATGCTATAACGGAGATGGAGAATGAGTGATCGAAGATAATAAAACTTACCCTTTATTCCATACATCATATCTCGCTTCTAATTCCGCTTCTTTTTTCGACTTGTCAAGTGGTTTTGGTGCTTTAGTATTTTTTAACAGTGCCGTCTGTCGTACAATTGTTGCTGGTTGTTGCTGGTGTTCACCATTATCATCATCAGGATCTGGAATATTTGGGAAGGTGAAACTGTCTGGATCTGATTTATAGAAAGCATCCAGGGTTTCAGGGAGATCACCACTGGAAAAGAAACAATAATAACAAAATAGAAGGATGGATAGATAGACATATAGATAAACATACATTAAGCTGGGAAGAAAAATAACACTTTTGAGTGACGGATTAATATCAGCTCGAGGACTATAAGGTACTTACTGGGGGGGGTCTGTTTCGTCCTGGTTTAGAACTCTTCACTGAGTACTCAGCCAGGTAAGGAGTCACTAGGATAAAATCCAGTTTCAGAATGTATACCGAATTTAATCATACCGCATTCTCTTATTTCACTGTTTGTATGACTCGCCACCGATGACATTCACTAGTGGCCGCGCTACGACGTTAAGTGACAGAAGTTAGAATTCATGGGTTGGCTGGGTATTGGATCGGGTCCCAAGTAGCTTAATGGTCTACGAGCTAGCTTACCTTGTAACCGAAGGGTCCTGGGTTCAAAATCCCCTTTGGTGGGTGCGTACTGATGAAGAGTCCCAAACTAGGACGGAGGAAACAGCTGGTTGTCCAGTACTCCCTGGCAGGTTTTCCAATGGTTCTCTAACTGATGCCAGCTCATGATTAAAATCCTGCAACCAATCAATCAAATCCGCACAAACCAACACTTGAAGATAGTCTTTTTTGCCGGTTGCCGCTCTACCACTAATTCATTTTATATCTGACTGATTGAGTTTCAACATAGAACTTAGCACATCGGTGCATCAGTTCCAGCTGCAACATTTCATGTACCACAGAAAGGCAGAGAAAAACAGGAGAGAAATTAAAAAGAAATATAATGAGTAGAAGTGTATAGGGAGAAGGAATAGTAAAATAGAATAGTATGAGAGTTTAGTGAATATGGTAGATCATAACGAGTGAATCTGTCTGTCTGTCTGTCTGTTTTCGACATAGAACTTTGCACTGGTGTGCAAGTTGATGTTCAAGTCGCCACACTCCCTCCTTGTAGCACACAAAGCAAGAGAAGAAAGTAGGAGAAATGCATAATAGAGACAGTAAACAGAGGTGTGAGATAAAGGAATAGTAATAACGAAGAACAAAACAGTTTCATTGGAAATCATAAGTCACAAGGAGTGGATGCATCTGTGCCAGCCATTTAGAACGATTTTGAGCCATGCCGCCAATTGTTTCCAACCATTGGTTTTTACCGTCCCGAGGACCCCAACCAGGAAGTCTACACCTTCCTACGTGACTGCCTGGCTTAAACTAACTGTTGTGGATTTTGTTGACTGGTGTCACCACCAGTGGCTCTTTTCCAGTTTGACCCTATGTCAGCTAGCATTGCCCTTTGTCGAGGAAGGTGACGACTGGGCGTAAGTAACACATGTCCTAACCATCTCAATCGAAGTAGCTTCACAGCCTCGTCGATTGATTTCCCTTCCCTACCTAGAACTCGACGCCTAACCTCAATATTGCTCACCTTATTATACCACTTCACACGGAAGATAGAACTCAGACACCTCTATGATCGAAGACAGCTAATCTTTTCATGTCTTCTGCTCTCAATGGCCATGTCTCACAGCCATAAAGGAGGACGGAGTGAAGTGACTACTGAGCATTACATCCGCCCTTTGGTCGATAGCCACCAGGATATCACGTCTACGCCAGAAACGGCGTAAACTGGCATATGAGAAACTAGCCCTCTGTATTCGTACTGAGATTTCATCAGAGATCAACTCGTTGGGGCTGATGGTACTTCCCAAATAAGTGAAGCGCTCAACATGCTCTATCACTTCACTCCCCATTTCTAAACTAGGAGTCAGTGTAATCCAATCCTGTAACATCATCTTACATTTGGCGGGAGCGAATCACATGCCAAACATTACAGCTCAAGGTGTTCAGAAGACTCTGCATTTTGTCAGCGTCCTCGCCTAGAAGGACTATATTATCTGCATATTCTAAGTCAACGAGATTATTTCCTGGTAGCAAGTCAATCCTTGAGTCTCTGAGGTGAGTTAGGGTTAAATCCATCAGTTCATCTATTCACAAAGAGTGAATGCATCTTCACCATTGTTGAGAACAGTTTTCAGCCATTTTCACCAACAGTCTTTAGGCTACTAGTTTCTTGGTGTCCTGGGGGGGGTCTCAATCAGACAGTCTATAATTCCTTATGTGACATACTCAAATTAACAGACAAAGGACTCATAGTTTGATGTCAGATTTTGATTTGATCACAACTAACTCGTTGTGTATCCGAGGTTCAATGGTAGAATACTTGCCACCCAAACCTCAGTTAGCTGACAGTAAGCTCAATGAAGAAAGGAGGTTGAATGAGTGGCTGGCTAGCAATCTCACCTCGTAAAACACCCTATAGCTACTGGAACTTCAAAGCCCAAGGTTGAAACCCTATATTCCACTTGTGTCAGTCAATGTAGGTAGCTTCACTCTTCTTACCTAACACTCTACACATAACCTCAACATTAATCATTATATTACACCACTTAACACAGGAGATAGAACGTAAACATCTATGGTTGGATACATCTAGCCTTTTCATATCTTCCACTTACACTGGTTATGTCTCCCAACCATTGAGGAGTTATTTAGAATAACTTTTGCGATTTTCAGACTGTCACAGAAGCTAGGAAAAAATACCGTGAAGTGAAATGATTTCTAATCATTCTGCAAATGTATCTTCACCTTGGTCTTTTCAAAGTTTTAGAAACTTTACGTATTATTAGGTGGACTAGGTATAGTCGCTATGTTTATCATGGAAATATAAGGTGTTCTTGATATCAGCATCAAGCCTTAATTATTAGGACCTGAATGTCTGTCTGATGATAAACCCCAGGGTGATAAGATGATGAGATAGTTGAGTATGTCAACAACTTTAACATGGGTACTAGAAAATTTAAACTACACAATAGCCAAACTACTGTGAAAGCAGTCATAATGAACAGGACATCATGTCAGAGACTAAACTGCCATCTGCATGACTTCATACTGAGTAATTACAACATCTGCGTCACCTATGCGGGCGGAAGGGTGTGTGTGGCTTCATATAAACTATACTGATGTTTCTGTTTTAAGAACCATTCAACAAGTTTGACAATAGGCTGCTCATAAATGTTTGGAAGGGGGTCTTTGAGCAAACTCTCAGAGAATGCGTTTTGGATTTACTCAGGACTCTCATCTGTTAGATCCGGTGTCTATGCATAAAAGATTAACGCAGCTTTGTCATTCAATCTCCTTCAGTGGTTAGTAATGATGTGCAGTTATCATATATTACTGTGCGTCGGTGGTACAGCGGTTAGGTCGCTCACCGACCATGTAAATGATCCGGGGTTCGATCTCCAGCCACAGACGCACTCCTTTACCTCGCTAAGCCAGAAATAAAAGCTGGAAAACAGGAAAGGTTTGGCATGAGGTTGGCTAGCAACCCTATCCTGTAAAAATGAACACCACGGCTAGAGAAGCTTCAAGCCTCTAGCTTGAAGCCCTATGTGCTACTGGAAACGTGAAGAAATCAAAAATAATTAAAAAAATCATATATTACGATTCGTTTGTCTCATATCCCTGTCTACTGTCTTTATAAGCGATATCCGACTATCGACCAAAGGGCGTGTGTACTGCTCAACAGTTCGCTCCGTCCTCCTTTATGGCTGTGAGACCTGGCCATTGAGAGCAGAAGATATGAAAAAATTAACTGTCTTCGATCATAGATGTCTGCGTTCTATCTCCCGCGTGAAGTGGTATAATAAGGTGAGCAATATTGAGGTTAGGCGTCGAGTTCTAGGTAAGGAGGGGAAATCAATCGACGAAACGGTGAAATTACTTCGACTGAGATGTTTGGGACATGTGTTACGTATGCCTAGTCATCGCCCTCCTCGACAATGGGCAATGTTAGCTGACATAGGGTCAGACTGGAAAAGAGCTAGTGGCGGTCAAACCAAAACATGGTATCAGTCAATAAAATCCACAACAGTTAGTTTAAGCCAGGCAGTCACGTAGGAAGGTGTAGACTTCCTGGTTGGGGTCCTCGGGACGGTAAAAACAAATGGTTGGAAACAATCGGTAACATGGCTCAAAATCGTCGTTGTCACTGGCTGGTGCAGATACATCCACTCCTTGTGACTCATGATTTCCAATGAAACTATATTGTTCTTCGTTATTACTATTCCTTTGTCTTACACCTCTGTTTACTGTCTCTAATATGCATTTCTTCTACTTTCTTCTCTTGCTTTGTGTGCTACATGGAGTGTGGCGGCTTGAACTGCAAAGTTCTATGTCGAAAGTAGACAGACAGACAGCAGCTATCATATGACTTCAGAGTTGTTTTTATTTTATACAGCTTAAATCCAAGTCCAGACTGATCCGAATGAGAATGGAGTGACGATCAAATAAATGTGCTGATTCATAAATGCGTAAATGAAATGGATTCAGTGATATGCCGGAAATTATTGCTTATTTACTCATCTTTGGATGACTGCCACTTAGTATTAAATAGATGGATTAAAACACCCCCTCAGTAGTAGGAAATGCTTATGAAGTCTATTAGTTTCCAATGATAGGAATACCTGTCTGTGTCTGTCTGTCTGTATTCAACATAAAACTTGCCACCGAAGAGCAGAAGTTCGAGTTGCCACGTTCCAAATAGCACACAATGGTAGACAAGAAGATGAGTGAAGAGAATCAATAGAGTGAAACAGAATGAGTAATGGTAGAAAGGAATATGAAACATTAAAGAGACTGAATACATCTGCATAAGCCATTGACAACGATTTCGAGCCATGTCTCCAGCCATTGATTCTTAGAGTCCCGAGGGCGGGCCCCAACCCGGAAGTCTGCACCTCCCTACCTCACTCAGTTTAACTGTCAACGATTTCATGGATTGATGAGGCCATGTTTTTGTTTGGCCACCACTTACTCTTTTCCAACCTGCACCTATATCAGCTAGTAATGTCCGTCGGGGGAGACGATGGTTAGGCATGCGCAGCACGTCACCTAGCCATCTCAATCTATGTAACTTCATAGCCTCGTCGATTGATTTTCCCTCTTTGTCCAACACTCTAAGCCTAACGTCAACATTACTTACCTTATTATACCACCTAACGTGAGAAAGAGATTGTAGACATCTATGACCAAAAACAGTCAACCTTTTCATGTCTTCAACTCGTATTGGCCATGTTTCAGAGCCATAGAGAAGGACGGAGCGAACTTCTGAGCAGTACACACGTCCCTTGGTTGATAGCAGGATGTCACGCCTACGCCAGAGATGGTGTAAGTTAGCGAAAGCAGCTCGAGCTTTTTGGATCCGTGCTGAGATTTCGTCGATAGGAATACCTAACCATATATGTGCAATAGTTCAATAGCAAGTCAAAGGAGATCAATGTGATTAAAAAGGCTGGGAATGTATATTGGTCATAAGAGTATACATGCTTACTTGATCAATGGCTCTACCCTACTGAATGTTGCTCCGTACAACGAACTAGACTTATGACAGAAATGACACCCCAAAACAAAAGTGGATACAAAAGTATAATTAGCCAAAAATGAAAATGATTACAAGCAGCTTAACCACCTAGAGGATGAGAAGCAATAAAGTCTAACACGGAGAGACAAAAACAACACAATACATACATGTTCATATCAACCTCTGACTGGAATGTACTTAATGATACAATGTATACTGACTGACTAGTTTCAACGCAGAACTACTTTGCATCGATGTGCAGCAGTTTGAGTCGCAACACCACTCAGCACACAAAGCCAGAGAAGAAAATAAAAAGAAACGCAAAATACAGACTAAATAGAGATATGAGGCAAAAAGAATAGTAATAATGAAGAATAATGTAGTTTCATTGGAAATTATAAGTCACAAGGAGCGGATGCATCTGCGTTAGCCATTGAGAACGATTTTGAGCCATATCACCGATTGTCTCCAGCTTGCATTGGTGTTCAGCGTCCCGTGGACCTCAAACAGGAATTCTACACCTTCCCACGTGGCTGACTGGCTTAAACTAACTGTTGTGGATTTCACTGAGTGATGAAGCCTTTTTTTGTTTTGACCACCACTGGCTCTTTTCCAACCTGATTCTATGTCAGCTAACATTGCCCATTTTCGAGGAAGGCGATCGATGGCTAGGCAGGCATGTGTAACATATTTCCTAACCATTTCAATTCATGTAACTTCACAGCCTGGTCGATTGATTTCCCCTCCTTACCTAGCACTCGACGACTAACTTCAATGTTGTTCAGCCTATTACACCACTTCAAACGGGAGATGGATCGCAGTCACCTCTGATCAAAGACACCTAGTATCTTCATGTCTTCCACTTTCAGTGTATACTGAAACAACTTCACCCCATTCTACATCGTGTCTCTTTGGAATGAACACCTCTGTCAGATCATGATAAGTAACCAAGAACTTAAAGTGCATAGACATTCGAAACAATGACAAATAGTGATGTCTCCACAGAACTCTTAATAATAACATTCTTATTCAATTTTAACGAAAATGTACTTATGAAAATACTTTTCTATTTGGATTTCATATTTCACTAGTTGTCTTGATCCACAAAATTCCTTTTCTGACTCAGACTACACAAATTCTAACTTGAAAACACTAAGAAGCAACAGTCTTTTGGATGACTTCAGCAGAGATCTCGATTTTTTTGAAGTGATTTAAGCATAAAATGCCACAAGTCTGTGGCAATCAATCTCAAATAAATATCTGTGCTTATCTAACCTCTTCCTGATCAAGTCGGTTGATGGGGCAGACATCAATTCTTTTTGGAGTCGGTTTCAAGAAGCAATAGATCGGCAGGTGAACGAGTACTCCACAGTGATCTAATCCTACTGTTATGTCCTCTGAGATTTTCCGAATTTTATCGAATGCAAGACGACCATGGGGAAGTGACGTGTACAGAATATACTCTTAAAATGAAAAACTGAAGTGGTTAAATTTATTGCTCAGTTTGATCAGTCCTTATGAACTAGCCACCAGTCAAACCTCACCAGACGAACTAACTAATTTCTACTAGATTTTAAGTTGTTTTTATCTGGCTACTAATTTGAGGACTATTATTTTAATTTTAGTACGGCAATCCCCTTAGGGATCTTCGTAAAGAGAGTAGAGATCAGAGCATTACTTGATGCAGAAACATGACAAGAGTAGCGATTCTATCCTGAAATAAGGCATTTGGTATACAAATACAGGGGAATAAATTTCCATTCGAATGTTTAATCAACTGAGTAACCAACCGTTTCAAAACGGTTGGTTTGCAACTATAGTTATAATTAGCTATAAAAATGTATGAATTACATCTTTATTGTGAAGACTCACGAGATATACTTCACTGTTACATCATTAACAGCTTTTCGTTTCTTTTTACTACTCACTGGTTCGAGGTAACGCTTTAAGTAATCCTCTTTGGAATTTTTTGAAGAACCGCATTGAAGGGAAGCCATAGGCTATGTGACGTCTACGGTACTGTAGGTCATCTGTTCATCATGTGATTGGCAGATTTAAATTTGCAGTCATTTGGCGGGAACGATATAAGTTGTGATACTTGCAATAAGCTAATTTATCAGGAGAGGCTAGAAGAGGTGCTTCTAATCTTTGGTACGCTCATTTGAATGTTTACTGAAATCAATGAGCACCATTCTGGCTACCATCAGTCCCGCAGTAGAGAGGATTACATATTTTGGATATGGATAGAAGGCTTCAGGTCTGAATTAATTCTTCTCTAATGCATTTCTGCACTTATTTAACGCCTTCTTGAACTGGCCAAATCAGAGCGGAGAAACCACTCTTTGGAGGAGTTGCTTTCAAGAGTGGATGGCTGGGTGGGAGAAAATGTACCCGTCAGTGAAAGGCCTTGTCCAAAGATTTCGAGATCTGTCAAAGCATCTTCCGAGATGCTCTAACCTTGTGAAAGAAGGCGAAGAAGACACATCAGTTCCATGTTCATTCTGCAGAATTTGACAGTTAGAAAGTTTGAAGAGTTAGATCTTTCTGTCTACGATGTGATAGGGCGAAGAGATGGAAGCTTTTAAGTTATCCGTAGCGGGAACCATAAATGTTACTTTAGCGTTAGGTGATTCCCACGAATTACTAGCCACAGCGGTAATCGTTGAACATTGGATGCTGATCCTCACTGTTTAAGTCGACTTGTTTAACCGAAGGCTTGCGGTCAAGCATCCACGACATTTGGCACGCCGTCTTGTTACGTTCTTGCGATCATGCACTATCCCTATGTAGTTAAGCGACCATCCTCGCTCCCTCATTTGGTCCAGAAATGTACTTCGTAATTTGGACGATCAATTTGAGTGTTTTGTTTTGCCTTTAGTATGCGCGTAACGAATGTTATGGAAGTTGTGTGTGTTATATATTGCGTTAGTAAATATCGTACGGTGAACGTCAAAACCCTCAGCCTCTAAATGACCATTTTAAAAGAGAATATACCGGTTCGCTTTTCTGCAACAGCCATTAGCCTAGGTGCATTTTACCAGTTTCAACCTCACAATATATATGCGGTGTACATTTCACTGGTGACTTTAGTGAGGGCTATGTGTACTGTCCATGTGAATCTAGATCTGAAACTGCGATAAAGTGTGCCTAGAGTGCTGATTGCAGCATTCCCTCTATGACTTGTAATAATCAAAGAAGTGCCTATCTCTACTCCGATAACGGTAGACTCTTCCCTGAATCAATTTAACAAACCTTTCTGCAACGTGAGAATTCTGCCATCATCATCAAGCATTCCCCGACATTTTAGGCTACAGAGAACCTAAGTAGATTTGGTGACCTTTGGGTTGAGGTTAGCAGTCGTGATCAGCTACTCAGCTCTGAATCCAGCTGTGACTGTCATAACATGTCATTTTCAAAAGGCTGACTATTTCTACTTACCAGTACATAATTTTCATCTGTTTATCACGCCGACAGAGGTTTCTCTGGTGATTGAAAGGGGGGTTAGTGTGTTCAGTAACACTCCCGAGTACCTAAATGATAGTCATGGACTACCTTATCATGACGTTGTGCATGCATTCGGACCATGTGATCAGGGCGTATTTGTTATTCCTTATAACTTTATATCAGTTCTGAGTAAGCATTCAGTGAACAAGTTATCAAATGCAGACCACCATTCATTATAATCACAAGAGACTGGTGTTCAAGTGAAGCCACAAACAACTGTTTAAGTATTCATGACCACAACCTCTCTTGAAGGTAAATGGGAACGAGCCGCGGAATGAAATTAACACTTTGTATTAATGGTTTATATTTCGTATAAACAGATTCATATCATTCTTACGGGCATGACCAGACACGTCATAAGTTACGATATCATAAATTAGCACTTTTCCGAAAGTTTAAATTGTTCGATTATTGTACACGCAATCAGAACAGGTATGCATAAATGTTAAATTTTCAACCCCTCGCTAAGATCACCAGTAAGGTTGAGCTCCAGCCCCAACTTCATTTCGTTTCCTGTTGATAAATATGGTCAACCAATCGGCAAGATATATTTTGGTAGGCACTATGCCCCCACATGATTAAAAACTAATTCAGGAAGAGGAGAACCTTCTGGGAAACCGCGAACTGGCTCAAATGCAACTGCGGATAGTACACCATTGAAAGTACATTTACTAGATGTTTGCAAAGAGCAGCTATAGAGTCTTTTGAACGGTAGCAAAAATTTCTCATGTTTAATGCTAACCATATTGATTTTACCATGGAAACTATGATTTTTTCAATGAAAACACCTTTGTTCAAACATTGGTGTTGTTATTATGTTTTTCCCATCAGAGCAACCAGACTTTAAGGGAGAGAATAATACGAATGAAGAGAGTAAGTTTTAGCTTCATTAAAAGTCTAGACGGTTAAGAAATTATAAGGTATGACAGTACTTTGATGAAAAGTCATTGTGAAGCATATAAGTGGTAGCTGAGTGCCATCACAAAAATTAGGACCTGTAGGATATGTTCACCTGTACAATGTCCCAAAATCTGCCTAGGGCTTACGAGGTATCATCGTGATAAGAAGCTGAACAAGCTTGTCGATGTTAGGAGCAGATGTATTCTTTTATAAAATTTAGATCTAAACAGTCGTCGTTGTATTTTATCTTGAGGATCTAAAAGAATGTTCAATTCTCGAGCTGTCAAAAATGCATATAAATATTCGTAATACAGCCCTGTCACAGCTCAGCGACTTAGTGTGGGGATAAACGACAGTTATCAGAAGTGTGGTGAGAGCTGTCTACTAGCCAAATTGGTAGACAGTAATTTACGTCAATATTAACGTTCCCAAGATTTGTCGTGAGAAAATGTGAACAAAGATTGATTCAAAACCGACCACAGCAGACTTTGCGTAGGCGGATGCAGTTAACATATAGAGGATTTGACATTCAAGAAACAGTCACAAATAGATGAAAGATTAACTTTACGTAAGAAACAACCAATCGGAAGACTGTGTTTGTTTACTTAAATATCCATAGTAATGTACATGAAATATATAAATATGCGTTGATTTCCTTAATAAATAATCTGTTGCCTGACTCTTACCTTCTGTCGTTACAGAAGTAACTCGCTGCCTTTAGTATGTGCACACCAACCCCTACCTTCCAACTCTGTTAGTCGTAATATTATTGCAGGTGGTTTCACAATGTCAGAAATATCACCAGGTTAATATGGCGACACTCCAAATAATAATCCTGAGAAATAAGGTTTTACGGGAGGCTGAAACCTTTAATTCTAGCTATTCATCCGCTTCATATTTCTGCTGAAATAATGGAGATTCTCATAGGTAGACTAAAAAACTGTGACCATACCAGAGACTAGTACGCTTAGATGGCATTGCGCATGACAGAATGGAGAAGTTATATGAACGGTTTGGCAGGAACTCTGTCAGAGTGTACGCCATGGGAAGCGGCCGCTTCGTAGACTTTCCTTGGAAGACAGATGCATATCTATGTCGTGTAATTTTTAAAACTCATGGGGTAGTCAAAGTTACCATAATTATTAGGCTTTTTACTTGTCTGTCCCGGATGGTGTACCTTCTGACTTCCTCAAGAACGGCTGCAACAACCTGAATTTATTTCTTCTGAAGCTATACTAAACTTCATTAAACAGTGGAATATACCATATTTGCTTGGTAAAGTCCTAAACATGACCACAGCTGATGATATCCACCATTGCGCCTACAGTGGTCTCACTGAAAGAATCATAAAGCGTCATATCATGTAGTATTTACTTTCCAGTGACCGACTGTCTCCACTTTAGCATGGTTCGCCGTATCGAAGTTTACGCAATACATACCTGTTAAATTACTTTGACAACGTTACTGGATGCATAGATAAAGGGCATTCGGAGGCGACAGTTCACCTTGATATTAGGAAAGTTTTTCACAAATTTCTGCATATAAGACTCTTAACATAACTCCAGTCCTATGGACAAGTTCTTTTCTCACAGAAGGAGAACAGTTGGTAAAGATTACTCACAAGTTATTTATGGCTTTTTGCGACAACTAGCGGCCTAATGCAGAGTAGCATTCTCCTCCTTATCCTGTTTCTGTTACTCACAAAATAAATGGTTTTCATGGTTAGTTATCTCTTGTCATACCTCTCCGTGGATGACCTCTCTATAATGGTATGAGAGTTGAAAATAAATCCCAGCACAACATGAAAGGCCCCAGGTGGTTGCAGAGAAAAGCAGTGACTTACTGCAATACCAAATATTTGAGATGCAGTCGGCTTTGGACATTGAAGACCTGGTGTATGTCTGAACACCCATGGCAACCTCCCCTGAAAATTGAACACAGTCACAGATCTCGTGATAGGATATTCAGATGCAACCCAAATCAGCCATGCAACAGTGATATTACCAGACTGCTGAAAACCTGTTCGCTTTATTTAGCTCAACTTCCATACTTCAGAAGCAAGATTAGCTATGTACAGGGCATGTATTTTTCCCCAAGCGTGCACTCAGTGGTCTCCTTTCAGTAATGTAAGGTTGACCAACTGGAAAAGTCGAAAGAATCCAGAATTTTGCGAAAGGCATAACTGGGTTTGACCAGACAACAGAGTATTTTGACAAACATATTCCGCTGAAATCGGATCCGTTATGGTTATTTGGTGTGAAGTGCAAATTGTTTTTTCGTTGCCACAACATCAGTAAATATAAACAACAACTTGTACTTAACACGGGACAAAATTAAGCCGCATCATTTACACAACCATGACCGAATTCTTAAGGCTGCAAACCACAAACGAATCATTGGAACTAACTTTTTCACCATTAAATATGGTGTTATTTGGAGTCACCTGGTTTTTGAAATCAGATCTCGTGGAAAGCTCAGTGGGCTCAGACGGAGTCTTGACAAGGAAATTAATTTCGCCTCTTTAGCCCTTCAAAAATATCCCAACTTCTGATAGGGTAGTGAAGCAAAGGTTGTCTAGTATATCCTTGACGAGACTAGATAAATCCTGGAATGTGGGCCACGTGGTGTAACATGGTAAGAGATGCTAGTGGATTGGATGCCAATTCTTGTGACTGGCCTACCATTGAGCAACCTTCGCTTTATTGCTTTCGGTCACTTACCCGGCACATCCCCCTACACCTGCCTCAGATTCTTCTCTTCATTGTCACCAGTGGGTGAGTGTAGTCGAGTCACTTTGCTGAAAATACAGTCGGCAACCGCCGTACCACCTCATCTTCTACCATTTCTACCAGAAACGACCACCTACTTTCCTATATTTGTCTGAAACTTCGTTCTGAAATCCCTTTGGTAATATCGTTTTCATCATGCAAGTAGATGAGTTCCTCTGCAATGTTTAACAGACCATAACTACAACGGTTATTAAATTTAGTGTAGCAAGTTGTGTTGAGAACCTGTTCTCTCATTTCGCTCAATACAGTATGACGTTTGCCCACTGTAAGTTTTGACTAATCCGATTTTTTGCATGTTAGAACTTATAATGTTCTAATCCCCTGCGACAAACTTTCGCTAATCGTGTGTGAATTTACACATGTTGTAGTCTGGAAAACGTCCTCAGGTAACGAGGCATCTGGCTACTACACAAGCTGTTCCGATCTATTTAAGGACTGTATAGCAGTAAATGTCCATAACCCGACCGGGGATCGAACCCAGGACCTTAGCGTTGTTTGGCGAGTTCAGCCTAATAGACTCTCCAACCCCACCTGGATATTCTTACAGTCATTTTTGTCGAGTTTTCTGATTGCTCAGGTTCATAAGATAAGATCCAGTCGCTAAGCTAGCTGTTTGCCAACATTTTACGAAAAAGCACAAAACAATAACATTTTATCTCTGCAAATTTCATAGTTACTTCTTCACCCTATTTCGCCATCTGTGATATATGTCTGAAGTTTCAAATAGGTCACCGTAAACTGGTTGAAGTGCTCACTAACGTATCCTATTAGATGGGGGGGGGGTGTATGTAGGTCGTTGTTTTAGAAGCAGTGCTTTTAACACATGTATGTTCTATGTCATGTTGGGTTGAATGAAATCGAACGTGATCGTGACGTTTTTCTGCAGACCGAAATTCCAATTAAAGGAACTTCTATGGGTGATAATTAGGTCGAAATCTAAAACTACATAAGGTTGATAAAGTGAATCAGTTTATAGTATGCTACCTTGATGTTCTTACTTTTGTCAAGAAATGAAATTAATTCTACGTCTACTAGTCTCAGTTTATTTCAACAGTCACTCTAATCACTTCAATCAACAAACCTTAGTAAGTTACTTTAATTTTTTTGGAGGGTAATTTGTAAAGCTTTTTGTTTCAAGGTCACTTGTGTAGTCCCTATAATTCTATTCTGTGAGTGATTGTTATTGTTTTGACTGGTGCTTTTTCATTTTGTTGCGAATCTTCACATACCTTTTGAATCTCACGTTCTGCTTATCTTTTCATTAGAAGCATTATCATACATACACAGACTGAAATCGTAGCGTCATATTGAGTGTATTATTTTTGGGGGAAATAGTTATTAAATCTACGGGCGAAATCACACATGCGGCATATCTACAGTTAGACTGATGATTTACTTAAGTTACTCTGATTTCCGACATGACTTTGAGGATTTTTGAGTATGGATTAAGGCCTCTGAATTTCGTTTAAGCTTTGACATCCTCGTATATGTGATTCTATGAATTGTTTCCGTTTGTGAATAACCTGTATTTGCGTAATCAGTGAACAATTATAACGTCATATGCTGCGAAATCGTCTTCGGAAGTCCTTTCCGAGGCTTGACACCTTGATGTGATTTATGAACGAGATGTGTTCAGAGGTCTCTTCTAGTGGTGATACTTGACTTCTTCGGCGAGAATCGTAGTGTTACCATCTATGTGAGAAGCGAGATCTTTGAGAACCTGTCTTCGAAGGTGGAGATATGTCGTCTAGTCTGGTAATTCTTGGTGTCTCCCAGTCGCTGTCTTTATTTAAGTTTTTAAAATTGTACTGATGAATCTGTTAGCTTCTTTTCTCCGTAATTGACTTGCTATCGGACAGAAGTATTCTCTGTCTAAAGTACTCATGAAATATACATTAAACTTGAATGTTTTGAAGAAATACACTTGACAAACTTCTGATTATTTGACATGCGCTTGATTCCTGGTAATTTTAAGGTATTACTTGTCCACATCAACTTCCAAGATAACCAGATAAACAGCGAAATAGCCTTTTGTATTCATTTCTCCTACTTTTATTTCACTGCAATTAACTTTGTTCATCATTTTGACCTAGAAATGGTGCTTGAAAGTAAAATATTTGAAGAGATTATAGACCCGTGGTCATAATTTTATTAGTCCAACTGCTCACTTTAGGTATCTGAACGTGATGCGTGGTGAAGTTTTATACATAATTTTAGTTAAAACAACATAAATCAAATGATAGGATTATGAATTTTCATAGATTGAGACTGTTCAGCATGCATAACATGGCTTTGCTTGATAAGCAATGTATACAGAAATAGGATTAGATTGTAAAAGAGTTGGAAGCATATACGCTAAAAAATAACACAAATGCATGAATACATGGCAGGTAAAAGGTGGTGAAGTAGCTCGAAATCATTGACAGGCAAAGTTAAACTTAAAGCAGCAGTAAGTACCAACGGACAAATAACCTTGAACGCACCAACCAAATGACAAAGGCGATTTTTGCTTATAAAATACATATACTCGTGAAAATAATGAATCACAAAGCATGAAAATTTTATACAGGATATCTTTCTTTGACGTGTGACAAAAATTACTTTCAGTATCAACAGAGTTATTTAACCAACATTCCGTGCATGTAATTATCAAGCCTTCTAACCGTAACAGTAACCGTAATATTCCCGTAACCTAACCATAAAGTGAAAATGTCCCCTAACTAACCTCAATCTAACTTGAACCAACCCTAATTTCGCCCTAATTAGGTTAACCTAAGCCTAAACCTTAACTTAATCTTTCCCAACCTCACTATTGCTCACCCTATTATTGAGGTTAAGCGTCGAGTGCTAGGTAAAGAGGAGAAATCAATAGACGAGTCTGTGAAGCTACATCGACTGAGACGGTTAGGACATGTGTTACGTATTCCTAACCATCGATCGCCTTCCTTGACAATGGGCAATGTTAGCTGACATAGGGTCAGGTATACATGTGTATTCGTATCTTCATGCGATTCCTCAGACCATATATCCTTAGTTCAGGTATAAATAGGTAGTAAGCTGATATGATAAACTCTGGTTACAAAAACTGAAATTCGGAAAGATTGACCTCATACACACATATTCATCTATTGAAATATCTTTCTGTTACAAGCTTCCATTTTTGTATGATACTTCATAGCTTGGTGAAATAAACGGATGCACTTTGATGAAGAGTTGTTTATTGATCTGTGCAAGATTGTTTACAATATTGATAATCAATATATGCATATACTTCTATGTAGTTTTTTAAAATTATATTTACATCAAATTCGTTTTCCTTGATTTTGATTTCTCCAATTTTGTAGCCATGTTTTGGGAAGCTTTTGCAGCATCTTCACGCATAGATGAACTACTATCAGGACCTGTAAGTTGCGAGTTGTTGTCTCAATCGTATACCTCTCTCCCTCTCTCTCTCTCTCTGTGTCTCTGCAGGATCTTACAATCAAAGAACTTTTAGATGATGATGATTTGTTACAGAAATGTCGTGAAAAAGACCAACGTCTAATTGATTTGTAAGTGATTTGCACATTGAAGTTGTAATAATTTGCTGATTTTTAAATTTTAGTTTGTCACGACCAGATAATTTGGATTATTTATTAGATCTGGTTAGTCGTACACCAGTGTCTAATGTGTTTGATCATAATTTGTATAGGTAAGTTTGTTTTGTGCTTGATCGTTAGTTTTCACTTCACTTGCTGTTTCCTCCTTATGTGTTTTTGCTTGTAAATGTGTGTATGTGTTGTGCTTGTTTATCTGGTAACTAGACCTTATTTTCAAGCATTTAGTGCATAGTTGCTCTCACTCAGTGGTGTCCGTCAGGGATGCCCACTTTCCCCATTTCTGTTTAACTTCATCATAGATATGCTAATGGAAGTATCCTTAACTGAACTTAACGACTTAGGAATCGACTTGTTACCAGGGAATAGTCTTATGGACTTAGAATATGCAGATGACATAGTCCTGTTAGGCGAGGATGCTGACAAAATGCAGAGTCTTCTGAACACCTACCTTGAGCAGCAATCTTCGTATGTTTGGCATGCGATTCGCCCCTGTAAAATGTAAGATGCTGCTACAGGACTGACTGGACTACGTCAACTCCTAGCTTAGTGATAGGGAGTGACTCTCCATTGGATGACAGTCTAGGGGAGATGGCTAAACCCTGATTCCAAACCTCCAACGACTGGCGTATGAAGCTCACTGGAGCTCACCGGAAGACGTATGGACAAAGGGCTTGTTGGATGTCCTGGATGTCTGGCCCCATTCAAAAAGGCGTATGAACCGAACTCCGGTCACCGGCTGCCAATGGATAGTGGACTCCCTACTCCACTCCTACTGCCTTGTAGGTCACACTTGGTTGTGTAAAGGCTAGAGCTGCACTCTCAAACAAAAGGCCGAGCGATTCTGGGGACATCACTCGTACCAAATTCCCATGAAACTTCATGAACTCAGTTCATGAAGCCGGCTCATCCTCCCGTAGGAGATAGCCGAAGTGAAGAAGATGAAGATAGGGAGTGAAGTGATAGATGTTGATGTTGACCACTTCACCTATTTGGGAAGTTGTATCAGCACCAACGGATTGATTGGTGACGAAATCTCAGCACGGATCCAAAAAGCTCGAGCTGCTTTCGCTAACTTACGCCATCTCTGGCGTAGGCGTGACATCCGGCTATCAACCAAGGGACGTGTATACTGCTCACCAGTTCGCTCCGTCCTTCTCTATGGCTATGAAACATGGCCAATTCGAGTTGAAGACATGAAAAGGTTGACTGTTTTTGATCATAGATGTCTACAATCTCTTTCTCACGTTAGGTGGCATAATACGGTAAGTAATGTTGACGTTAGGCGTAGAGGGTTGGGCAAAGAGGGAAAATCAATCGAAACGGCTATAAAGTTGCGTAGATTGAGATGGCTAGGTGACGTGGTGCGCATGCCTAGCCATCTTCTCCCCCGACGGGCATTACTAGCTGATATAGGTGGAGGTTGGTTGGAAAAGAGTAAGTGGTGGCCAAAATATGGCATGAATCCATGAAATCCCTGACAGTTAAACTGAGTCAGGCAGGGAGATGCAGACTTCCAGGCTGGGGCCCGTCCTCGGGACTCTAAGAATCAGTGGCTGGAGACACTAGGTGACATGGCTCAAAATCGTTGTCAATGGCTTATGCAGATGTATTCAGTCTCTGTAATGTTTCATATTCCTTTCTACCATTACTCATTCTGTTTCACTTTTATACTTATCTAAATTCTATTGGTTCTCTTCACTCATTTTCTTGTCTACGTTTGTGTGGTATTTGGAACGTGGCAACTCGAACTGCTGCACCTCGGTGCCAAGTTCTATGTTGATACCAGACAGACAGAGACCAGACAGTGTGTGTGTTTATTGTTGTTGTTGTTGTTCTGAATACTTCTCATTTCGCGTATATTCTCTTTTCTCTCCTCTTTTCTCTTTTCAATTAGATATCCTAGTTTAGCGTGTGAAATTTTAACCAATGATATTGATGAAATACTAGATGGAATTATTGAATCACAATCAATAATCGATGATAAACCAGTGGAGAATTCATTTTCTCATCAGCATCATCATAATAATAATGTTGATGGAGATGACAGCGGGAATAATAATATTATGGAGTCGACTGGCATATCTTCATCATCGCCATCAACAGCAGCAGCAATGTTTCATGAAAATGATAAAAGTGTTAATATGTCGGTGATTAGTAATCACGATGACAATGTAAATAATTCAACAATGGAATTATGTAATTTAACTTCAACAGATGATAATGATACTACTACTAATAATAATCGTAGTAGTAGTAATGATGTCAATAATTTGTCCACTTCAATGTCTTTTACTGATGAATCTAGTTTAAACAATTCCTCGTCTTCTTCGTATTCTTCTTCGTCAACTGCTACTACCAATACCATTGTAAATAATAATACTGAAGATAAATCGATCAATAATAATACCTTAGATCATCATGTAAATACATTGAATTCATCAACGGATATCTTATCCTCATCGAGTGTATTCAATGGTGAGATGAAGACGCCATCACCACCAGCGACAACGAAAACGATGGATGTCGCGGCTACAATGTCCATGAAGGCAACATCTTCGGGAATACATCGTCCACGTTTAGATAAACTCATTCAATTTTTTAATTCAAATCAATCGGTGAATCCATTATCAGCTAGTTTTGTTTCACGACTGTTAATTCACTTGACGTTATATCGTGGAAGTGTTGTAAGTTCTGTGGGTGTTATTGTTACTATTGTTATTATTATTGTCACTTTCAGTTCTTGTAGTCATTGTTTTTTGGAGCTAGGTAAGGAGGGCTGTGAAGTTACACCGATTGAATGAAATGGTGGTTTTAGGACACTGTGTTACGTGTGCGCATGTCTAGCCATCGCCTTTACTCGACAAGCTATATTTTTGCTGACATAGGATGGATCAGATTGGGAAATAGCCAGTAGTCGTCCAACGACATGGCTTTATCGGTCAGTGAAATCCATAACAGTTAGTTTAAGTCAGTCAGCCACGTCGGGAGCTGTAGACTACCTGACTAGTTGGTTGGGATCCTCAGGATGGTAAGAACCAATGAAGGCTGAAAGCAATTGGTGGTGATACATGGCTGGCTGAAAATCGTTGTCAATGGCTGGCGCAGATGCATCCACTCCTTGTGACTTATAATACTATTACTATTCTTTTTGTCTCATATCTGTGTTTACTGTCTCTGTTTTGCATTTCTTCTTACTTTCTTCCCTTGCTTTGTGTGCTACATGAAGGGGAGTGTGGCAACTTGAACTCCTGCTGCACATTGGTGCAAAGTTCTACGTTGAAACTAGTCAGTTAGTCAGTCAGGGCTTAAGGATAGGAATGTTCCAGCTATTATTAATGTTGTTACTATTTCGACAAAGCAATTATTATTATTGTATTCTGTAGTTGCTAGAGGAATATAGGGCTTCAGCAGCACGTCTTCATTGTGTTTAGTTCTCCGCCAACGTTTTCATCACCTGGCTCCATATCTGCCACCCACATGCTTTCATCGTCTCCTCTTCGCATGACCTCCACCTCCATGTCACCCTCGCACTGACGGCCAACTAACTCGCCGCTTCGCATCTGGGTTCCACTTGAGCTATGGCCTGGCGTGTGGTGTCACTTCGCTTATCTAGGAAGCATCGTTTCAACGACAGGCGGACGACTCGGATGAATATTTCGAAGCCAGCCAGAATCGGAAAGGCAAGATATGCCTTTATCAACCTGAAACCGGTTTGAAAATCTTCTGCATAGTGCTCAGCATAAGAAAAAAGATCCAGATTTTCAACACCACTGTCAAGTTGGTCAGTCTATACGGGTACGGGTCAGAAACTTGGCTAGCGTGTAAGAAAAAGGATTTCCAACAAGTTACTGCAGAAATTTATCAACAGCTGCCTTCTCTGGCTTTATACTGAAGATCAAATGGCCGGCCGGCGAGAACGAATTAGAAGCAAGAAACTCTGGCTGGGAAAAAACCAACAAAGTAAAAAAAGAAGGCGTTCAGCGAAGAGACTCTTTTCGGCGAATTCATTCACTGAGCTGTACAATCGCATATTTATACAATTTTGTTTGTGTGTGTGTACATTAGATTTATAAAGTTTAGATAATTATGTAATATAAGTATGAAGATGGAAAATAAAATAGAATTGATTAAGTGAGTTGGATGACGTAATACAGTTGAGTAGAATTCAGATTAGGTCAGGTTGGCAATGAGTGGTGTCTAAAATCAAATAAGGGTGGGGTTAGAGAATAATACAGTTGAAAATAAGTAAGTTAATCGGATGACGTAACACAGTTGACTAGAAATTGAACGTGGGTCAAGTTAGTAACATTGTTAATGAGGGTAGAGAATAATATAAATGAAGATGTGAAATAATAAAATGCAAGAGAAAAAATAATACAATTAGTAAGACTGAAATTAAGAAAGATTACGTCCATTGTAGATTTAATGAATGAACGAATTTCTTTTGTATGCAGAGTTCAGGATTTAGCAGATGAATTGCCATTGCTTCTGCGATGTGGAGAAGTTTGGTCCGTACACTTTTAGCAAGATTGCTTTGTATTCTGTAGATAACTTTGAAGTTTATTTCTGGTTTGACTTGGTGTCCAGATTCGATCAAATGTTCAAGGATCGAGCTGTGGGAGCATCGGTTTTCTCCTTTATAAAACCATGAAGGTAAATGTTCGTTGACGCGTTTGGATAGCGAACGCTGAGTACGGCCGATATACCTGGCTCCACACGAGCAGGTGAATTGGTAGATGCCGATAACTCAACAAATATGTAAGAGAAAATGAAGATAGATAGATCGGGCATACATTGCGAAGGCCTTCAAATGACATCGCGCACTAGGCCACTGCTTGAGTGGAATCCAAATGGGAAGCGACGAGTGGTTGGTTGGTGCGAGGGTGACATGGAGGAGATCGTGTGTGAGCAATCGTGGACGCAGATGAAGAGGATGGCAGAAAATAGAAGAAAGTGGTGATGTTTTGTTGAAGCCCTATGTTCCACACGGAACCCAAGGGAGTGTGTAGCATTTTGAACTGTCGCACTTGTGAAACTCAGAAAACCTTAGACACAGGGTAACATTCAACACATATTTAGCTCTCCATACGACAAAATGTATAGCACAAAGTAGGCGTGTCTGTTGTAGCCAAGTTACGCATTTCTGTTCGCCTTCTTCCAGTATACATTTACACCATTCTGTCAGTCATTCGACAAATTCGGTTGGCGTCGAAAAATAAACCCATACTAGGGGTGGGGTGGGGGTTAGGTAGGTAAGAATGCCCAGATAAACACTTCACCTTACTTTAGACCATCGGAACACAGGTTTGAATGTCACCAGACATTTTATATAAGATAGACACAGAAAATAATGGGTAAAAGAAAGTAAACAGGCTAAGTGATACTAACAAAGAGGAGGGAGACATTAACGGTAACTGTTTCTCCTCCTCTCTCTCTGTAATAAAATGGACACAAGTAAGCGGATTAGCAATTTCCATAACAACAATAACAACAACGATTACTTGCCTACTTTTTGGACACATCTTTAGGCGATTTAGTAAAAAAAATGAATTAAATAAAAGTAAAATCGATGTGAATTATCTCTTAAAATTTCAATGGTGTTTTTTATTTTCTTCCTTCCTTCTTTCCATCCATCCATCTTTAAACCAACCTACACACATATTTAGGGATTAACACGTTTGCGTCGGTAGCTCAGCGGCAGAATGCTTGCCAACCATGCCTCAGGTACTTTGGGGTTCGATTCCCGGTCATAGACGTACTCCTTTACCTCGCTAAGCTAGTAATAAGAGTGGTAAAGAGGGAAGGCTGGACCTCCTCCTTTATGGCTGTGAGACCTGGCCATTGAGATTGGAAGACATGAAAAGATTAGCTGTGTTCGATCATAGGTGTCTGCGTTCTATCTCCCGCGTGAAGTGGTATAATAAGGTGAGCAATATTGAGGTTAGGCGTCGAGTGCTAGGTAAGGCGGGGAAATCAATCGACGAGACTGTGAAATTACTTCGACTGAGATGGTTAGGACATGTGCTACGTATGCCTAGTCATCGCCTTCCTCGACGGGCAATGTTAGCTGATATAGGGTCAGACTGGAAAAGAGCTAGCGGCGGTCAAACCAAAACATGGCACCAATCAATGAAATCCACAACAGTTAATCTAAGCCACGTAGGAAGATGTAGACTTCCTGGTTGGGGCCCTCGGGATGGTAAAAACCAATGGTTGGAAACAATTGGCGACATGGCTCAAAATCGTTCTCAGTGGCGCAGATGCATCCACTCCTTGTGACTTATGATTTCCAATTAAACTGTTTTGTTCTCCGTTATTACTATTCCTTTGTCTCACACCTCTGTTTACTGTCTATATTATGCATTTCTTCTACTTCCTTCTCTTGCTTTGCGTGCTACATGGATTGTGGCGACTTGAACTGTCGCACATATGTGCAAAGTTCTATGTCGAAAACAGATAGACAGATAGATAGATAGAGAAGGCTGGACCAGGTGAGGCTAGCAACCCCATCCCGTTAAAATAAACAAACACCACTGCTACAAAAACTTCAAGCCTCTAGCTTAAAGCCCCCTATGTTCCACTGAGAACGTAAAGGAAAAAAAACGGTAAGGATAGACTGTCTCATACATTCGAATTTCATATAAGCATACAGTGTACTAACTGACTGGTTGGGCGGTTTCAACATAGAACCTCACACAGATGTGCACCAGTTCGAATTGCCACACTCCCTTCATTTACCACACACAGCAAGAGAAGAGAGTAAAGACAGATTCAAAAGACAGTGAGTGAGGGAAAAAGAATAGTAGGGATATGGAAGAACAACAGTTGTGTAAAACTTGGGCACTGTGGTAGTATGTAATTCCATATTAATTTGTTTATTAGATATATCAGAACACACAGTAATAAAACAATAGTATTATATTTACCGGATGACAAGGTTTCGAACACACCTGACTATTGTTCATAATCATCACATCAATCATAATCACACAACTTCGAAACTTGAGTTTTATGGGTTTTTTTTAAATTCTCTTCTATTTGTCGTAGGGTTAGTAGAATTTTCCAGATGTCCAGGTGGTTCAGTTGATTCGATAAGTAAAGCTTCCGTTATCAATCCTGTTCCCTCCATTCTGTTACACTAGATTTTAAAACTGTCATCCTATCCCATCATAATGTATGACTGTGTTGTGTATGATTGCATGTAGTGTCCTATAGCTGAACTATTCTCCAGATTTCTTATCTTATTAGGGTTAACTAATCTAGATTTTGTTCGGTTTTCATGCTCCGCTAGTCTGACTGACTGACCCTGTTCTACTACTTTGAGCTATGCATTTGACCCTACAATCATTCCAGCAGAGTATTAGATAAACTAAATTATTCTGTTTCTTTGGCTCCACAGCAGGATCCTTTAACTGACAAAGCTTGTTTCTAATTGAGTTTGTGGGCAGTTTGAATGCCAGCCACTTTTATTTTTGCCTGCATTGTTAAGAACTCTCCGTAAGGTGGTTTCCGAGGTTCCTTCTCTGCTTCTTACCATCCCCAGGACCCCAACCAAGAAGCCAGTCTACACCTGTCAACGTGACTGACTTAAACTAACTGTTATGGACTTCATTGACTGGTGAAGCCATATTTTGGTTTGACCACTAACTAGTTCTTTTCCAACCTGACTCTAACATTGGGCAAC